GCGCCGGCACCGCGAACCCGGGGTGTGGGGGAGCTGCCCGAGGAGGGGCTGCGGCGGGGGCCGGGCAGCCTTCCCCGGGCCCAGGCCGTCCGCCCCTCCCGGCTCGGTCCGTGCTGAAGCCCTGGCTTTTGCTGGAGCGGCTTTTGTGCCTGTTGGGGTTACGAAGACGCGCAGGAGGCGTGCCGGCCCCGCAGCTCCTGAGGCACCAGAAATGGCCTTGCCCAGCCACGGCCCCTCTGCTCCTGCCTGCCTGGAGAGGGAGAAGGAACCAGCGACCAGCCCACAAGCTGCACGAACTCGCCACCCGTCCCCAGCTGTCAAGTCAATGGGCCCGTTTTCCAGCTACCACACATGCCACGGTACATCCCAACAGCTGCTTCTTACCGCCTTTCTAACTCCTAGTCTTGTTTTGAGGTTTGGCCTTTTTGCAACGGCATTTCTATTTAATTTTTCTCCTGTTTGTGCCACTGAGGGCAGTAGGATGAGTGATGAGGCGATAATAACTGATGAGCAGTTAAAAAATTTGGAGAAGAAGAAAGTAACTTTGCTTGAGGAAGTTTTGAAAAGCTGTAGCATAACAAAAATATATAAATGCAGTTGTTGTATTATACAGTTGTTGTATTAAACTTGTTGTAGTTAAAAAAGGAAAGGGAAAGCAAATATGTTGAGACATCCAGAAAAATCACCAAAATGTAATCACAAAAAAAAAAAAATTACAAAAAGGTGGAGTTGACCTCTTTGCCTGCTGTGTGCCAGGGAGCCAACAAACATGGCAGCAAGAGAGAGAGTGTCCAAGAATATGCCATGAGTAGCAAATGGCGAGAGAGGAAACAAATAGCCATAGCTATTTGTAGCTGTAGAGGTGTAGCTGTGTGTATGAATATATAGAGGCAGTAAGAAAACTGGTGTCCTGAAAAGGAAGATCTGGCAAGAATGCAAAAGCCTGTTGCTATACTTGGGAGCTTCCAAAGGCATCATGATTCAGGGTCCATGCAAAGGTTCGTGACAGCTGGAGTTGGACAGCTAGTTTCACTTCATTAGGAGAATGACAGAAGGTGTTCACACTTCCACGAGAAAAGAGTTACCAACAAGCATAACTGACACCAGTAGTTCAGGGCAGGCTTCTCCAAAGCTCAGCAGAGTCCCAGTGAGTCCACATCTGTCTACCACATTGCTTTAATCTGTGCATGCCATCCCCTCTTCACTTACACTGCAGTGCTAAGCTCTTTACGTTGCAGACACGGCTTGGGCACCACGCTGACCTGTGACCCTGAACCCTGCTTTCTCTGAGATGTTCATATGTCAGAATCTAGGTCTGCTATGTTTTTAGTTTAGCAGTAGGAACCCATGTGGAATGCTTTAATGACCATCGTAAAGAGTACTGTAAGAGAGTCAGTAATTAGATTGCTGTAACATTCTCCTCATCTCCTTGGCTTCCCGTATGCCATAATATCATTTAATAAGATGTTGTAAATAACCAGGAAGCTGACCAGCAATTATACTGAAACGGAACATGCCCATGTCCTCTCCTCCTCACACCCACACAAGGCCATCAGTTAATAAGGAAGAATTACCCAAATTTAGGATATATGGGTCAAAGAAACTGGTACAGCTCAAACCTTTTTTTAATTCCTGTAGATGGGGTGGGTTATCATTTTACAGGGATTGGTCTTAATCCAGTGGAATTTAAATAGGAAGGAAGGGAGGACAAGGAGTTTAATGTCTCGCATTGGATGGACTTCAGGAATTACCAAAACTGCATGTTAGCTGGTTGCCCCTGTGATGTCATAGTTTTCTTGATTAAAAGTACTCAGTCCCCTCCTGAGTGGAATAAACATGATATCAATTATCAGTACCACCCTTATGAATAAAATTTAATCAGCATTGAACATAAACTGTGTCAAGAGCTTTGACTGACTTACGGGAGGGGAGTTACGGCTTTTTTGGCTTCTTTCTTGGTATGTAAACAATGTCTAGATCAATTTGTGATCCTTTTAACATTTCTTCACCATGAGACCTAATCTGCTCAAGGGTACTGTACCATTGGTCAGTTTGCTGCTGTCTTCCCCTTATAGGATGGCATATTCTTGATCCTGCCCTTGTCCAAGGATAGCTTTTCTTCCTACTGTACCAGGCTGAATACTGAGTTCCTCTTGGGGGCCAAAAGCCACAAGGCATGGGCAATATACCTCATGAGAGTGGGAGGGCATGGTTTCTTCCCAGTCGGGAAGTAATGGTTCTTCAGGCCTTCTACTGCTCCCTCATGAATAGGGTTGGGTGTATAGTTTTGTCCTATGGGACCCAGCAGCCACCGTTGCCTTAATTGGCTTTAAATACAGGGACTGTGATGAATAATGGCCCTGCGGCAGCCCAGTCCTGCTGCTGGACACATCAGGCACAGACCGGCAGCTGGACCACACAAGAGTTCATGTTGCTAGCTCTTCCCCAGACTTTTTCTCATAAACCAGTGTGTTCTACGCTGCTGTTCCCAGGCTTTTCTATTGTATTACCATACATCAGCATCCAAGAGGAACAGGGATAGTTCCTAAATTTAGGGCTGTCCATCTGGCAGCATAATAAAGTTTAAGATTAATGGGAAGTGACTGATAAAGGTACCCAATGAAGCCATAAATGGTGTGTTACAGGAGAACATTTTGTTCCTGCTTATGCTTTTGAGGAGAGTACTATGTCTTCAAAGTAGGGAGGACTCGGGGTTTTTTGGTGGTGTTTTTTTAGGCTTCCAGGCATTGTTCGTGACTCACCCAATTCTTTCGCGGCTCAGCTTCCGGTTTGCACGTGGGGAAGGACCCGTCTCCAAATCTGTTTACTTACCATAAATGCTCCATCTTCTGAGGGGAGAAGTAACTTTGAATCTCTGGCATGCAGCTTCATACCACCCCAGAACTGGGTGACAAGATGAGGAAAGGCTAAATGGAAAGCTGCTGCTTGTCGCCTGTTCTGAGGTAAAATGTTTTGCACTGAGTGCTGCTGAGCTCTCTTAAGTCAGCTGAGCACTGGTAAGAATAGGACTTTGGTTGGGAGATTCACTATTATTCAGCATGTTTGCTGAATAAATAAAGTCGCTGCTTTTTCCTTTGAATTTCTGTGCAAGTTTGCAAGTGGAGAGATCTCCATGGAGGGCTCTTCATCACTCTGTGCCTTTCCACTTGGAAAAGGTGAAACCCTGTCTATAAACTGCTAATGCAGTCACATATTACAGAGCACGCTGCCTCCTTTTAACACCTAACTTGTTCCCTTTCTGTGCAGTCATCAGACCTGTCTGCTTTTAATAAAGGCTTGTGGGACTCCGGCAAACATGACTCCATCTGTCTGTTCCACTTCAAGGCTGTCAGGGTTCATTTTAGGCTGCGTTTCTTGCAGGCAATGTCTCTCTCTGGTAGCTGTCCTTACAAGGTTTCTTCAAATTAGATCCAGTCAGCAACACCAAAGCCAACAGAAGCATTCACTGTCCAGTTACCTACATAAACAAGTTTGTTCCTTGTGATGAAAAACAATACAAATGAAAAGTGAGTATTACTGTTCACATAGCTCTACATCAAATTCACTGTTATATCCTGATTCAGGAAAGCAGCTTTACCGAGGAAAGAACTTAAACATGTGTTTGCAGTTAATTAAAAGGCCTTTGAACAGAGGCGAGTTAAGCATGTGCTCACATGCTTTTGTTTGTGACCTGTGAAGAAAGACTATAGCTGTAATTGGCATTAAGACAGGAAATGAAGAACATCTTGCTCTATAAAGAGATTTCTTCTTCTACCTGGTTACCATGTTTGTGAAATCTGGGCTCTTTGGAAGTCAGTGGCAGGACTCCAGACAAGTGGAGGGGGTCAGTGTATCATCCTCTGTGCTTCTCCTGAACCTTGCAAAGCAGATTAAAAAACCCACTTCTTTCCCTTCCAAAATCTTTTCTCCCTTATAACGAAACAACTCTTTTAAAAATATGCTTTTCTTATGTCCAGTTTTGATCTTTCCTTTCTAGGCTAGTTATTTTGCTTTCTTACTATCAAGCCATTCATTTGATGCAATGGCATTTGGCAGCCTGCAACTGCTTTGTAACTTCTGGCACAACTAACTGCACAGCCAAGCTATAACTGTTTTTAATGAACATGCGGGGTTTTTTGGTGGACTTAAGAGCATTTCCTGGCTGCTCTGGTTACCACTTTGTCTGCTTATGATACAACTAGTATTTTCTTAAAATTCACAAGTAAACGAGCAAAATAGTTGCTCTAATGACCTGTGAAGTTAATATTAATAAGGTGTTAGTTAGAGCTAATACCTTATTCAGCCAATGCTCAAGTGGATCCTACTAGAAAAATCACCACTATATTAATCATTAAAGGAAAAAAGTCAGAAGAAAAATGTAGTGTTACTCACTTTTGCACGCAGTGTGGCTCTCTGCTGGAAAGATAGTAACAATGATTCAGCAGGGATGGAAAAATTCTGTAAATATGGAATTCATGGAATGAAAACATGTCTTGCAGCTGATTCGTTGGTAACATTTTTAATTATTACTGAAATAAATTATCCTTCATATGGCATTTTTAATAAATCATATTGTTAAGCTCTGGCTTTTATTATCTTTAGAAAGGACATGAGATCACTAGCTCTAAGGCAATTCTCTTGGACCTATGGGAATGAGTATCAATGAATTTTCTGAGGACAGACACTGAGAGAGGTGTAAGCTAATTGCTGTGGTGCCTGCTCCACCTACGTACAATATCAGACCCCATCAAAGAACATACAGTATTTTCTGGCATCAAAGTTGGTTATTTGGGGGCAAGGATTTCCACTGTCACTATAGGAT